ATTTTGCGGTCACACAAAAATGCAGATGCACTGCGCCATTTCATCCACCCTGCTCTGATTCTGTGATTTACATCCTCATCAATCTCTCCACCGTTTTATAAAATGGAGCCCAAGTATTTAAAAGCATCTTTTTTGGGTATCTCTTGACCATTTAGATGCATAGGTTTTTGGTCCTCATCTCGTAGCAGAGAAAACTCACACTTCAGATACTCAGTCTTGCTTCGACTTAATGTGAATCCTCTGGATTCCAATGTGCTTCTCCACAATTCAAGTTTTCTATTAACACCCTCCTTGCTCTCATCAGTAAGCACAATATCGTCTGCAAAAAGCATACACCATGGCACTTTCTCTTGAATATCTTTTGTTAGTTCATCCATAACTAAGGCAAAGAGGTAAGGACTTAGAGCCGACCCTTGGTGTACACCTACCGTGATAGGAAAATAACTTGATGATCCGTTACAAGCTTTTACACATGTAGTAGCCCCATCATACATATCCTTGATTGCCTTTACATACTTTAATGGAACCTTTTTCTTCTCCAGGACCCACCATAAAACATTCCTTGGAACCCTATCGTATGCTTTCTCAAGGTCTATGAACACCATATGCAAGTCCTTCTTCTTTTCTCGGTATCTTTCCATTAGTTGTCACATCAAGAAAATGGCTTCTATGGTACATCTTCCTGGCATAAATCCAAATTGATTTACAGAAACCTTGGTATCTCTCCTCAAGCGATGTTCAATAACCCTCTCCCACAATTTCTTGAAAACGAGTATATCCAAGAAAAATACACTTGAAAGCTTTGGATGTTAATTTATCTTTTCCTGGCGTAAGATCATGAACAAAGTAGGTACATCCAAATATATGTGGAGGTAGAGGATAGGAAGGTGCTCCTAAAAATAATACACTATGTGGAACTTCAGTTTCAACCATATGTCTATTTTTATATTTAGTCACTCCATTTTGTTGTGGAGTGTGTGGACAAGTGGTCTGGTGTAACGTCCCACGTTTCTCCAAAAAATTAGAAAATTCAAGAGACACATACTCTTTTGCATTTTCACCGCGCAAGATTTGAATATAAGCACCAAATTGAGTATTTATCTCAGCACAATTTTTGATAAATTGAAAAAAATTCAGAACGGTTTTTCATTAAATAAACCCAAGTACAACGAGAGAAATCATCAATAAAGGTTACAAAAAATTGAAAACCCAAAACAGACATTGTTTGACTTGGACCCCAAATATCAGAATGGACAATAGAAAAAGGAGCATCAGCTCTTTTATTGACTCTATTAGCAAAGGAGGAGCGAGTATGCTTTCCTTGCTGACACTGACAGTTTAAAAACTTAAGACTTGATAAAACAGGAACCATATGCTGAAGCTTGGATAAACTTGGATGACTTATACGACTGTGAATAAGCTCAAGAGACTTTGTGAGAGAACACGCTACTGGAGAAGGTGGTGCAATCAGATAGTAGAGACCTCATAACTCAATGCTCGGTCCAATCGTTTTCCCCATACCTGGAACCTGCATAGAAAAAGATTGTTTAGAGAAGGTAACAGTACATGAAAGAGAATGAATCAACTGGCTAACAGAGATTAAATTAAAGGGAATGCCAGGTATATAATAAACAGAGTTCAAAGTTAAAAAGGGAGTTGGGATAGCTTCCTCAATTCCACGAGCAGGAGCCTTATTGCCATCAGCAAGAGTGACAGCAGGTAGGTTTTTAGAATAAGAAAGTGAAGTAAAGAGATCCTTATTACCACAAAGGTAATGAGTAGCACCTGAGTCTATTATCTAGGCATCCAAGAGATGATTGAGAAAGATAAGCAACATGATTACCAGTGTCTTATGTAGGATGCTGAGAAGAAACCTTCTTGAGAAATGCCTCATAGTCGACACTTGAAAGAGTTATCGATCCAGTAGAAGGTGGTGTAGCATCTGTCTGACCAAAGTTGGCAGTCGATGGCTTCAAATGAGGGTACTTCCTATAGCAACGTTCTTCAAAATGTCCAAGATTCTGGGAATAATTGCAACGAGGCCTCTGTCCACGACCACATCTGCGACCGTGTCCACGATTCCAATTGGAATCATTGGCACGAGAAATGAATGCAGTGGAATTGGTAGCTGGCACATGTGTGGGAGCTGTTGATTTATCGTTAAGATTCAGAAGGCGCTGGAAAGTCTGTCTTGGCTAGGAGTCTCTGCACTAGTTAGAATATTCTCACGAACACTTTCTAACTCTTCTGAAAGACCGGAGAGGGTCACGACCATAAGGAAGCGCTCCACCTGCTTCTTGTATGCAGAGGCATTTGTAGCATGAGGTAACATAGCTAAGAATTCTTGCATCAAAGAACGAATCTTACCAATATAAGTATCCAGTCGAGATTCTGGTGATTTGCGCAATTCCATTATCTGAGAAACAATGGAATAAAGCTGCTGAATGTGATTGGTGTAGAGGTTTTTAGCTTCCTTCCATACGTCATAGCAGGTCTCAAAAGGAATGAAAATGTCTATTATTGGCGGATCAATGGATTGCCAAAGGATACTTAGCAGTTGAGCATCAACCTTTTCCCATTCAGATGTCTGATCCTTTGAAATATCAGCAAACTTAGTTGTGAGATGTTTTCCGTATCCCTGACCAGTAAACCAGATTTTAACTGAGGTAGACGAGGTCTTGTAAGTAGCAGATCCGGTCAGTTTCATTGTTGTAATGGTTGGGGTAGTGCTAGAGATGACGCCAGGAGTGTTTTTGGACGCATTACCTGAGCCCTCCATCACAAAAATAAAAAAGGACCAGTTAAAAGCAAGAAATAACAAACAAGAAATAGCGCAAATATAATTAAAAAAGATGTCCAAACAACATGTTTTTCGCCAATATCTTCTTAACGAATGGGATCCACAACGAACGGAGACCAGATCTGAAAATAGGAGAGGAAGGCGAGCTGTTCTGTTTTGGAATGGCCGGAAAAAGACGCGTGAACAGTACCTGTACGGACGGCGTGAACAGTGACCTGTATGGACATGGTGAGCAGTAACGTCAATGAACATTACCATCGTGAACAATGCAGAACCAAGCCGAACGACGTTAGAGGAAGGAGAGAACACCTAAGCAGTGGGCTTAGGGTTTTAGCGGAAGCAAAAGTTCCCAGAACAAAGAACTCTAGTACGAAATTAGAATGTATAAATGTATTGTATTCAAATTGTATATAGAACTGTACAAAAGTCCTCTATTAAAGAGGTTAAAAGACCTAATGGGCCAAGCCCAAATAACCTGCTAGAATAACATAATAACAAATATACAATACTATTTAATACAATATTATTTCTAACACTCAAGACTCCTTTGATCAGATCTGACTTATTGGTAATTATCTTCACTCTTTTTGCTGCCTTATTCTCTTTTCATCCATGGAGACTTGTTCCTTTGCTATGTTTGGTAGGATCACACACCCTACATCTCTTCTTGCTTCTTGCACTGATTTCAAGAATTCGTGGATTATGGATTCAAGTGCAACTGATTATATGACTTGTCTAGCTGATCCATTTCTTTCATATCACCCTACTTGTGGTATCCATACTATAGCTATAACTGATGGATCCCACAAATCAGTTATGGGTTCTTGTAGCATTCAAATTCAACCTTCCTATCTTTTAAAAAATGTTCTTCATGTTTCTCAACTCTCCACTAATCTTATCTTCACTCTATTAGTGCACCATTCCAGGCATAATTCTTGCTTTATTAACTTTCCAGATGTTCATTTTGTTGTCTTTCTAGCAGTCAGCAGTATTTGGGATTCCTCATTTTGCTGTCTGGGTATCTCTTGCTGTGGTCTCTGGAGCCCATTATATCATAATTTATTATCTTTGCTAAGTGTGTGTATTTGCAACCAGCTGGGGGCTTAGAATCAGGGAAGCCAATCCCGGTCTCCGCCTGTGGCCACTACTTGATGGCCGATGAGTCACGAATGTCATGGCTGAAATAGCGGTGTGTTATGGGTCATTCCATGCCTAGAGTGATTGCAATGTTATGCAGTGGAGCAGTCCCTATTTTGCCCACACTAAAACCCTCACTCGTTTTCAGTACTAAAGGGCTAAATTGCCATTCATGCCCATTTTACCCGTCTTAAAAGATCTACAAACTTTCAGCCATAAAAAATTCCAGCAGTAGCAGCTGTTCCAGTCGCCCATGATATTTCTGGAGAAACCCACTCCTTTTGTGGCAAAGTCCTTGCTCTGTTTCACAAGTTCCCATCTTTATGTCTCACAAACCCACTGCATGTTCCCGGGCCCAACTGCTTTGTTTTGGGCTTTTAGCATGTCCATCCTCTGTCTCCAGTCTCTCACAGTGTTGTCCATTATTTTTTCTGGCTCCTGTTGCTATGTTTCAGCTTGCTTCTCCTTTTGTCCAATTATTATGCTTCTTCTTTTTATTTACTTATTATGTTAGTTATGCTTAGATCAATATTAGTTGTTTTTAAGCAATGAATTTTGAGTATTAATGATGAATATGTCTTAAATTTTGAGCACTTTTTAAGTTTTGAGCATCTATTTGTGTGTAAAGATTATTTGCATTGTATTGACTATTTTTGGAGTTGCGGCAGCTGTGGAATTTACTACTATGACTAGAATAATTACTGTGTTTTTTTGGGTAAGGTTGTTGTTGTAATTGTGTTACACTTGTGCTTGACCTGAAGTATATAAAAGAGAGGTCAGTTTTTTATATTAGGACATCATAATTGTTCAGAATTTTATTTCTCTCTTTTCTCCCGTCTAATCCTTTTAATTTTAACAGTTTTCACTAAGAAACTTTGTTTTTTGTGTGAAACAGGGACTTATACAACATATTTTCTTTAATGTTATTTCCTAGATACAAACAAGCTTTAGTCTGATTGTTCTTTCGTGGTGTTTTACTTTTCCCAGCATCATATATAAAGTTGATAACATATTTCACAAAAATTGCATTTATTAATTTAAGGCTTTATTTTAATCAATACAGATGTTAAGGGGAACAATTTGATTCTGTCTGCCAAAAGTTCGCTTACTAAGTCTGCTCCACAGATTCCAGCAGATATTAGTCAGATACATCCTAACTCAGTTGTGCATGTAAGTGATGATGTCAAACATATATGAATTGCTTTCAATACTTTTTTGATAGATACACAGGTCCTTTCAATTTATGTAGTTATTTTCAAAGTTTCTTGCTTGTCAGTGATAATACTGTTGATTTTTTTCTTCCATTGCTGTATGATTGTGGATGGAACAGGGCTATGTATGTAATTTAATTGAGACAGGCTGCTTTGTTCGTTTCCTTGGTCATTTAACGGGCTTCGCTCCAAGAAATAAGGTATTTCATTTTTACACATTTCTGTCTGTGAGGATGATACTTGGAGCAGCGCTAAGGTTGCTCCTTAGTCTATTCGTGAAAATTAAGGGTATTCGTGAAAATTAAGGGTAAGATTGTGTACAATCGACCCCCACCAATGTTGTGCACCAAGATTTTCCCTTTCTTGGCTCTCCGATGAAACTTCAAGTTTCTATTGATTGCATATTGGAGACCAGCTCCTTACAGGACAACTAAGCAAGTAAAAACAGAGAGAAATAGTCTCGGGCAATGCTGCAAATACCCTGGATAAAAAAAAACTACCCTGAAGGACTAATACCCAGACCCTTCAAGATTCCCCCAATTCCCTTATCACTTTTTGCTCCCATCATGAATCCCTTCATCCTTGTTTCCCATGTCCATATAACCAACCAAATCACCAGTTTCACTATCTCCCAAATCTTCCTCTCCACTCACAGCTTGCCACCTGTAAATCCTTTTAACTAAGTCCCTTTTTGCCAAACACATCACCTCATTTCTGTTACTTATTACAGCGAGCTGCTGAACTAGAGCCATTTGGTGCATTATTGGGCTGATGCACCTGGGCATTTTGCTTGATTCCCCTCCTACGATACGCAAGTTAAAGAAGCTCACCACTCTCCCTTCGTCCACTTTTTTCCCCTTCTTTTCTGTGTATTGGTTTGTATTAGCCGTGTGATAGTCAGGTAATATCATTCTCTTGTATAGGCGGCAGATGACCAGAAAGCCAATATTTTGGAAGCCTATTACATTGGGCAATCAGTTCGCAGTAATGTATCCAATGTAAGTATATTACTATATTTCAGGCTCTAATTTCACATTATGAAAGCTTAATGCAGGCTCAAACAGCATTTTTATCTTTCTTTTTTCTTCTTCAGATTAGTAGTGAAACTGGTAGAGTAACACTCTCTCTAAAGCAGACATCATGTTCTTCAACAGATGCATCGTTTATTCAAGACTTCTTTCTTATGGATGAAAAGGTATAAACAATTATAAAATACTTCTGATATTATTGGCACATATTAAATTGTTTATATCTAATATAGTGCATCATGCACAGACACACGTCTATCCTTGTGCTGTTTGCAATCCTTAATCAAGGCAGGCCACGAGGATGAGTGTTATATTCCCAGCAAACATATTAGGACCTTGTTAACTTACTCAATTTCTGTCCAGGTTGCCATTTTGAAATTTGAATTAGATGCCTAGAGTATTATTGTTCATCTAAAAGTTCATTTGGTTCTTTCCTGAATGAGTGATATTATTGTTCACTCTTGGATAGAGAAGTGGTCCCTTCCACTTTGACTCATCTAACTACCTCTAAATTTTGGCAAATTCTTGGTGAAATATAGCAATTTTTTTTTTTCTTGATGAGGGGATGAAGTTTTATTGTGGTCTTTGGTCATACCATTTACTTTCTTCTTATGGTGTTTTTTGGAGGTGATACATCTTGACTTTTTTTCCCCTCAATAAAACTAGATTTACAAATTTTGATCTATAATTTTACATTTAATTTAGGAAAATACTAGATAGCCATAATTTTTCCCAAATGAGTTGATATTATTATTAGACTCTTTGAATGGAGAAGTGGTCCCTACCACTTTGACTCATGTAACTACCGCCACCACCTTTAAATTTTGGCAAATTCTGGTTGAATTCTAACAAAATTTTTCTGGCTGTGTAGCATTATTTTATCTTGTCCTATAGCAGCTGATCTAATGCTATATATATTTCAATATAAAATAACATTTTATAATTTTTCATTATTTTTAGGCACATTTTTAGCCTGCTATCATCATTTTTTTCTCTTCTATTTTTTCTCAGGAATTCCTATCACGTCCTCTTCCTTTTCTATTACTTCTAATCTTGTGTACATCTTTTTGAATTTAGATTGCTAAGTTGCAGCACTTGGGCTCCGGTGCATCTGATTTGAAGTGGGATGATGGATTAAACATTGGTACCATTGCTAAAGGAAAAGTTGAGGATGTTAAGGAAGTGGGAACTGTTATAAGCTTTGAGAAGTATAGTGATGTTTTTGGTTTTATCACCAATTACCAGTGTAAGTGCTCTCCCTCTCACGTGTTACCTATTTATTATTTATCCCAAGCTTGGGTGATTCTTATTCAAGTGGAAGTACTAATCATCATTGTGTCATAATCCCTCAGTAGCTGGAGCCATTGTGGAGAGAGGCTCTATGGTGGAAGCATTGGTTCTTGATGTTGCAAAGGCAGAACGACTTGTTGATTTAACTCTAAAACCAGAGTTCATTAATAGAACTAAAGAAAGGAGTGCTATTAGTCATACCAACAAGAAGGTTGAGCATTTTTCCTGCCCTCTGCCCCTCCCCCCATCTTTATGTTGTAATGCATAGGAAATATTTGCGGTTTTATATTTTTTTAACATATTTGTGTTTGGCATGAGGGTGAGGCTTGGAGTAGCAGTACGGTCGCTCCTTGTGACCTTCCGAGTTCAAGTCTGAGTAATAGCCTTTTCGACCCTCATCCTTACCCTCACATGTTGAGGAGCATTATGCACCAGGGTTTTCCTTTTCCCTTTAAATGGCAGATAAAAAAGCTAGCTAAATTTTTTTGACACATTATATGCTATGGAACAATCCTTTTGAGTTCATTAATAGACCTAAAGAAAGAAGTTCCATCAGTCATACCAGCAAGAAGGTTGAGAACTTTTTCTGCCCTCTGCCCCTCCACTCGATTTTACATTGTAACACGCCAATTCAACCCAAAAGCTTAAGCTTATAGATGAAAACCATATTAGTGGTTTATTTTTTTATTTTTTTATTTCTTATTTTTTTTATGATGTGTGTGTATAGCATTTTTGTCCTACATGGCATAAAAGAGCTGGGTAAATTTTTTTATGCAAATTATATGCTATGGAACCATCTTTTTGAATTACTAAAACTGGAACTTCTCTTATTGAGTTCTTTCTTTCTTCTCCCTAGTAAATTTCTTATTTGATCCAAAGAAGAAAAAGATTCGGAATATTTTCATTCTGTCTTATGCGGTCATTCAATCTTGTCCTAAAGTGGTGATGTAGTCCATGGGTTTCCTCCATGATTCATTCTTGACATACTTTGACCAATTCATTGTAATATCTTGGTTCCAGAAACGTCAAAGGGAGACATTGAGGGACTTGGTGTTGCATCAGACAGTGAATGCAGTGGTGGAAATTGTTAAAGAAAACTATTTGGCAAGTGTTGATACTATTATTCAATCTAGCCACCTGCTAGTAAAACTTATTCATGCATATTAACACATTGTAGTGAACTTATTGTATATTACGCAGGTTGTATCAATTCCGGAGAATAATTACACTATAGGATATGCATCAGTAACTGACTATAATACTCAAAGGTTTCCTCAGAAGCAATTCCTAAATGGACAGAGGTGAGCACAAAATTTGCTGATTTGAAGTGTCAGCTCAGCCTTTCATGTTTATTTCATCCCATATTACCAATTCTGTACTCAAAAGGTTTGGGTCTAAGTAATATAGTGTCCAAGAATAATTCTTTGGTAGTAAAGTGGATACATCAATGTACATTAGTACCTATGGGCGTGTAAAAAAAATCAAAAAACTGAACCGAACTGTGAATTGAATTGAATTGCACTTAAAATAATTGGTTTTTAAAAATCAGTTCACGAACCGAACTGGTTTTTAGAAACCAGTTCAAGAACCAAACCATTTTATTACTTTATTTCTTTTCTTTTCTTTAATTTCTTTTCCGAACCAAAGCGAACCGTTTTCAAATCAAACCGAGCCGTTTTCAAATCAATTCGGTTCAGTTTTTCAAAAAATTCAGTTCAATTCGACCCATGTACACCCCTATTAGTACCTAAATCTGTAGAATGACTGCTTGCAGCCAGGCCAGCACTGCCTGTGTAATTTCCTAGACTAAAATTCTTTTAGTTTGTTATAAAGTTGCTAGTAGTTATTGACTCTTTGTATTGGCCTTGAGGAAAGATTTGTGGTCGGAAATGCTCCTTTTTTATCGTTACAAGGAAATGCTCCTTCATATTCTGTTTATTTTGCTATTCTTGTGTTTTCATTTCCTTGTTGTATTATTTGGAGGGTTTTCTCTTGGACTTATTTTCCCCACAAAATTGGACTTGGGTAATTTTTTTTTTCCCCTCTTGTTTATCTTTCTTGGAATCTTGCATCATTTACTAATAATTGTTTTCTACTTGCTAGTCTTGTATGCAATCCTAAGGCATGCTTGTAAAGTTATGGTATTTGGTGTGCAATTCTTGATTGGGTTATTGCTAATCAATTGTTATATGTTTTGAGACCAAATATTTATACCTTCAGAAATGTCTCAAGTGCTCATGTATTAGTAATAACTTGTTTTGTTTCCTATTTCCTGGAATATGTGGCATATGCTTTTTTTATTTCATGGGATGTATCCTCTTTTATGTATTCCCTTGTTAGTGAATATTTCATGTCTGTGAATTGTACATTTTACAATTTTTTCTTGTAAAAAATATCATTTTTTTTAATAAAAAAAGAATTGTTTTAAGGGATAGGTTATTCTGTTTACCCTTATTTTGCCTACCCTCCTCAACATCGTTAGATTATAATCTCATCCAACGGTGGAGATTTGCGGGATATAATAAACCTTTTTTTCGCACCATATCCTACGCCAATTTCACTCCCTTCCTCTCTGCAGCACCCCCTCCACCTAGCTCAATAGTGTCAGTGAATGCAAAATTATCGCCATTTTGTTTTCTGTCCGGATGAATTAGTTTATTTTTTCTTCTGTTTACATATAATCTTCAATTCTTTTCATCAGCATGTTGAACTATAACGTAATCCAATGTCCATCACTTTCACTATGAAGGCAAAAGAGAATGTGTTTTGATAGTGGAAAAGAGCCAAATCGAATGAATAAAAAATTGATAAAGGAACTACATTAAGAGAGATTACAACTGCTATATACATTGCATGAATAAGAACTGAACAAATTCAAAAGAGAAAATGCCATCTGGATTTTATCGTGAAACACATCTTTCCAATAGCTTCTTGGGTTTCGTTTTCGGTAGTGAAGCCATAATGATGAGATAGAGAGAAAGGGGAGGAGAGAGAAATGGTGGGAGACAGTGAGGAGAAAGAAAGGGGTAAAAAGGTTTATTTTATCTTGTAAATTTTTACCGTTAGATGAGATTATAATCACTTGAGATTAAAGAATAATTGTATATTGAATAATCATAGTGTATTACAATGTACAAGAGCTCTCTATTTAAAGAGACTAAAAGACCTAATAGGCTGAGCTCATAAGATGTGGGACTATATATACTGAACTATTCTTACACTTACAACTACTTTTACATAATCTAACAATATTGAGGAGAGAAGGGTTGGCAAAACGGGCCAACCCGACTCAACCCGACCCAACCCGCGTTTAACCCGAAAAAAAAAGCCGGGTTAGGGTTGGCTCGAAAAATAAAAGAGCTAGAAAACTCAACACCACCCGACCCAAGTCAGGTTCGGGTTGGCTCGAAAAAATGGAAAAAAAAATAAAATTTCATTGATGCTATAACTTCTAATTTTTTTTTCCTAAATTATTAATTCATTCAAGACAAAGACATTATACAAATAAACCATAGAAAATTTTGCATTTGGACTTGGACTTATTGGCAGTTGACACCACATTCACACTGTCACACATACTATAAAAAATGTCCTTAATGCACGGTTTTGGACTTATTGGCAGTTGCAGGGTATTTTTGTTTAGGTCTTTGGAATTGGAATTTTAGGTTTCTTCAATAATTTTTATACTTTTTTATTAAAAAAAAAAGGATAACCTGCGAGCCAACCCGTTTGACCCATAGGTTAGCTCGATTTTTTTCGAGTTGAAACGAGTCGGGCTGACTCGAGTTACTAACTCATTTTTCCTAACCCAACCCGGCTCATTTTAGCCGGGTTACGAGCTAATCCGATGGGTTGGCTCATTTTTGTCAAACCTAGAGGAGAGTAGGCAAAGATAGGCAAAATAAGGATAGGCAGAATAACCTATCCTTTGTTTTAATGAGTGTAGATATTAAGTTTAATTATGTTTGCCTAGTTCTTTTTGACAACTCATTGCTTTATGTTGGGCTCATACTTAGAATGTTTTACTTGGTCAGCATTGTTGCAACTGTTATGGCTCTTCCAAGCCCCGAAACATCGGGAAGGTTGCTTTTACTTCTTAATGAGGTAAATGAGACATCTAGTTCTAAAAGAACCAAGAAGAAATCTGGCTATAAAGTGGGATCTCTGGTTGAGGCAGAGGTATGTGGATTTTTCTAGTTTATTTAAACTGTATATATATGTCTATGGGGGTATGTATATGTATTTATTAGATTCTCACTGCATAGTGACATGCCAGGCTATGTGGAACCATAGTAAGCTTCAATTATTTATTTTTTGATTATTTTTTCTTTTAGCTAATAAAAGTCTCATGATTGCAGAGCTTGTTGTTTTGTCCACTCTAATGGATAGAATAGTTTTTATGGCTTCTCATTGGTGCTCTATCTATAGCTTCCTTAAGAGAACCTCGATTGAAGAGCTTTTTTGCACTGCTGTGCTTGTTTATTGATGATTATTTCCCATTTTACTATCTTTGGTCTTTCTTCATGTAGATTGACCTTTCCCTGAAATAATGCTTCTTGTTCTATCCAAATAAAAATGTGTTTCATGAATTTGCTTTTTGATGACATTGTTGTCCAGATTACTGAAGTCAAATCACTTGAACTTAAACTGAAGTTTGGATTTGGCCTACATGGCAGGGTTCACATAACAGAGGTAACTCCCCTGTGTTTCTGGTGTCAATATTTAAATTAGCATGCGTAGATATGATGTCTAAAACTTCCCAATGCACAAAGCTTCTGTCTTTGTGGGGCTTTCAGTTTCAGATGTATGCAGCCTTACCCTGTTAGCTGATATGCTGTTTCTGCTGCTGGAAATTGTGGCCAAGGTCACGCAGCAGAAACCTTACTGTTGCAGCGAGGCTTACCCTTTTGTTGATTTGCTATTTGAATGTTTCTCATTGGTTGGGTGCCTACCTATGGGCAGGTACATGATTCAAATGTTATCGAAAGTCCATTTTCTAGCTACAAAATTGGACAAACAGTGATGGCAAGGATTGTTGCAAAGCCAAATGAAGCAGGTAGCAATAGGAAGGGCTCACAGTGGGAGCTATCAATCAAACCTGAAATGCTTACAGGTAAAGTACGACTCATTGCCAAATACATGGAAAAGAATGAGTGTTTGAAATACTAGGTAATTTGTGCATTAAAGAGTTTATACAGAAGGACCGGTGAACTTTGAAGTCCAGCAATTTTTTTTATAACCATGTAGCATGAATGGTACAAATGTTTATCTTGGTGCTGCTTAGGAGTTGATTGAATAGCTACATTCTAATTGGGAGGTATTTTTACGTTAGTTATACCCTTTAATGATATTTGTTCTAGTCATTATATATATAGATATCAATTTAATGTTCATTGAAATAGAGGGCAATTGCATTTTCTTACCCAACTGCCAACTGTCGTAAAGGTTTTAAAATGATTGATATAAAAAACCCGTGATTGAAATTTGTTTTGGTGTTCATTTATGCTATTCCAGTCTGCCCTTTTATTTGAGTTCGTTGTCTTATGAAAACTATCATAATCATTTTATTCAATCTCAACAGTATCTACTTGTTATTATGAAAGTTATCAGTCTTTCTGGATTTAATATGTAATCTCAACTTCACTTCAGGTTCCAGTGATACCGGAGACAATGTATCTGGAAATCTTGACTTTAGAATTGGGCAATGTGTGGCTGGTTATGTATATAAAGTAGAAAGTGAATGGGTTTGGTTAACAATATCTCGAAATATAAGAGCTCAGCTATATATTCTTGATAGTGCTACTGAACCCAGCAAGCTTGAGGATTTCCAGAATCGATATCATGTTGGACAACCTGTTTCTGGTCATGTTCTGAGTATCAACTGGGAGAAGAAGCTATTGCGGTTGGTTCTACACCCCTTTTCTGCTCTCGCTTGCAGTATTAGTGAGGAGCCACAAATTAACATTGTGAATAAGGATTTAACAGCATATATTCACGAAGGAGATATTTTAGGTGGAAGGATTAGTAAAATACTTCCAGGTGTTGGTGGATTACTTGTCCAAATTGGTCCTCATATATATGGAAAAGTTCATTTTACTGAACTTAAAGACACCTTGGTGCCTGATCCTTTGTCTGGATATCATGAAGGGCAATTTGTCAAATGTGTAGTTCTTGAAGTCAGCCACACTGTCAAGGGAACTGTTCATGTGGACTTGTCATTGCGTTCTTTCAATGGGACGCTCTCTCAGGACTCTGCAGATCTTCATAGCATTGTGTGAGTTCTGATACATAGTCATGAATCTTTAAATAAAGTCCTAGCCTTGGCCCTATGATTTTTTGTACTAATATGCAATTGCCATTTACTCACTTGATTAAGCCTTCATTAGTATTGCTAGTGAGTTTATGCGTTTATAACATTGCAAACAACTTGATATAACAGACTACATTGAATTGGCAATTGGCTGAAAAGTGAAAAATACTTTTACAAGTTTGCAAGGGTACTATTAATGTAATTGTCTCCTTGGTCTGACTTTAAACATCTATAGCTCCTCATTCTTATTCTGCCAACCAGCCAATCTGGTTTAAGTCTTTTGGCTGGACATGGTATCCTGTTCATAGCATTTTCGCTTTCAATTATTTCAGCAAAAAGGTCTCTTCTTTTCTTCTCTTTTTGAATTTCCTTGCTTTGGATGCAGCATTTAACTTATTAATCCTAAAACGTCGAAATTATAACATCTTTTTCTGAGGTTTTTGTTACTGCACCTGCAAGTTATCTATTTTGAATTTAAACATCTAACTTGAGAGTCTGATTTCATTTGATTGCCTTATGTTTAATGTGTTGCATGTGCCTATTTTTTATTCCTATCAGCTCATCATGTTTAATAACCTTTACATTGTATACTAATATAACATGATTGTATCTTTGTTGTACCTGATAATTTATATCCAAATATAATACTATTGGTTATTGATTTTTCAGACATTCTAATGGCAAATGTAAGGAAAAGATCGAGGATCTTCATCCTGACATGGTTGTAAAGGTATTGGGCTTTTTGTTCTTTTTCTTAACTTTTCATTATTCCTTTTTTTTTTTCTAGGCTTTACATGAGCTTCTTTAATGTGACATGTGCACTTACTGTTGTGTTGTTTCTGATGGAATTTTGATTTGTTAATAAGTTGTAGCATTCATTATTTACATGGCAGGTTATGCTTTTACAATCATTTGAATTGATAATAAAATGTGGGTTGGGGCTGAGTAAGAATTTTCAACTAAGGAGGGGGTATATTTTTGGTTGATAAATACTGCAATCTCCCTCATTATTTTCTTCGTTTTTTCACAGGCCTGCATTCTTTTTCGAAAATCTACAAAGTTGATATAAATATTGCTATCATGCGTACACTTTGTTGATTTTTTCACTAGCTGACATTTCTTTCTTGAAATCTACAAAGTTGAAAAAAACGGCTATCTGCCATAAATTTTCTTGATTTTTTCACGAGTTGAAATTCTTTTTGAAAATCTACAAGATCTCCCTTGAGTGGGTGAAGTCTAAAAATCTGGAAAATCCAAAGGAACTTTGTGTAGGGTTTCAAAAGAGGAAGATTTGTTAAAAATAAAGAAAATACTGATGTGTTTTGAGCATTTTGCTCTTAAATTTCAGTGTTCAATTATTCAGAATTCAAGTGTGAGTGATGAAGTCTCGCTTGGTTAAGAATGAATTAAGTAAGAACTATATAAGTGAAAAGACCTATAAATTCATTGGCATAAGATTTTGAGTTGAGAGGAAGTGTTAATCCAACTTATTGTGGTTTGTCACTTAGCCCATTAATGGATGCCTCTCCTATGTTGGGCTCCCCCTGACTACCTAATAGGGCTAAGTGACAAACCAAACTTTCATCCATACTCTCCTCATCGACGTACTAGTGGACAAAAGAACATTTGGCATCCATGAGGTCATACTTGTGATCAATGCGACCAAACACTTGAGCCACATTGCCAAGAAAAACATAGTTTTAATAACACACTGAAAAACAGTGGGGCACCAATCTACAAAGTAAATGGTCTCCTTGGTTTTGATCGCGGCATAAACAATATTCGCATTAGCTTAACTTATTAGGTGAAAGCCATGTGACCTGATTGCCATGTGACAAGACTGTTGGTGATGATGATCTTTCTTCAGTGACAAGACTTAATAGTCTTGTAACCTAGCCCTATTAGATGGTTGGGGAGAGTCCAAACTGGGGAGATATGCATTAATGGGCTAAGTAAGAAACCACAATAAGTGTGCTTAACATCACATTTTAACTTAAAACCTTGAAGCAATGAATCAATGGGTCTTTTCACTTATATGGTCCTTACTTAGTCGATTTTTAACCAATGCGGGACTTCATCACTCATGCTTGAATTTGCAACATCCTTCCTCCCTTGGATATGCTCCCCTTGACCGCCTAACATCTATCTTTGTATTTTTCTTGGGGAGGACATCTGAGCCCTTTCTTAATTTGTCATATATAATGTTTTGGTTTTGCATTGTACTGACACTGTCATTTTAAGTTATATAGTTATCATTTCTGTTTAAAATCTCCGTAGCAGTATTTTGTTGTTAATTATAAGAAAGTCTTGGTATAATAAATTCTGGATTTCCACTTTTTCTTGCTATAATTGGTTGTAATTATATACTATGATTACTGTATGCAGATGATTCAAAGGTACTGGTAAATTTCTGACACTAAAACCAAATATAGTATACTGATTTTCTTAAAAATCATATTTAGTTCAATTTTCAACTGGCAATGGAAAACCTGTCATGAGACAGAATGTGAATGTGTGTAATTGTTTCTGTAAAGAACCAATTCAACCCAAAAGCTTAAGCTATTAGGTGAGGCTAATTAATGGTTTTATATATCTCAACACGCCCCCTCACACGAGAGCCCACTGGGCTTAAAGAGTGGACAATGCACAAACTCACTTACCTGTGCGAACAAAGAAATTCCACTTGAAAGAAAGTGGGGGGCGGCGAGGATCGAACCCGGGACACGAGGCTCTGATACCATGTAAAGAACCAATTCAACCCAAAAGCTTAAGCTATTAGGTGAGGCTAATTAATGGTTTTATATATCTCAACAGTTTCGAAACCAGCCATATGGATGGTCTACTCCCACAAGAATATACCTTAACAACAGTAAGATAAGAGAAAGGAAGATTTTCTTAAATAAATTAAGCAATGAATACAAGAGCACTCTCTTGCCAAGGGACTAGCCCCTAAATCTAAGACTCTCAACCAAACACTCACAAAATAATTGGCTGCCTATCTTCTAAGACGTTCCTCCTTATACCTAAAATTTATTTCATAACTGCTACCATAACCCTCATAACCTCTCGTTTGGCTGGTTGGTTTCGTGACAGTAATGCTGTTTTACCTGTCATAATAAGTTCTGATCCTTCTTTGATCAATTGCAATGCTGAGAATTTATTTCTATATCTAATGTATTGGGGGGCATATCTTTTTCGCTTGTCACTTTGTTTTTTATTTCCCCTTGATGTGGGATTTTGATCATATGGATTTATTGTAGTGTGTCTTCTTTTGGACAGGGTTATGTTAAAAATGTCTCGCCAAAAGGATGTTTCATTTTGCTTTCTCGAAAGATTGATGCCAAAATTCTTCTGTCCAATCTGTCCGATCAATATGTTAAAGATCTTGAGAAAGAATTTCCTGTTGGAAAACTTGTAATTGGCAGGTAAGTAATCAGCGTATTGTTTCACTCCATTTTCTAATGTGAGGTCAATGGAGAAATGTACTGAGACAGAAAATGGCAGGGTTATATCTGTGGAGCCTCTTTCAAATCGTGTTGAAGTAACACTGAAGACATCAACTGTTTCCAGTACATCAAAATCTGAGATTATTGATTTGAGTAAATTTCATGTTGGTGATGTTATAACTGGCACGATTAAGCGGGTCGAGTCATTTGGTTTATTCATTGCAATTGACAACACAAACATGGTATTTCATGCTTTGAGCTTTTTTTTTAAATTAGTCAAAATATATAAATAAAAAAATTAAAATTTCATGGTTTATCTATTTCTTGGTTTGGATAGCTCAAATGCTTACAGCTTCGACCAAAAATCGTATTCTTGGTTGTGGTTGTGTTTATGTCAAAATTATGATTTTCCATGAACCATGCTCTTAAGAAAGTGGTAGCAGTCTATTTGATTATGTGATCTCTCTTGATTATGCTTTTTCATATACCTAGGTTGGATTGTGCCATGTATCAGAGGTTTCTGATAATCATATCGAGAACATTGAAACAAAGTATAGAGCTGGAGAGAAAGTAAATGCAAGAATATTAAAGGTAATTCAAGCACAAAAACTTCAGATATGTTACTGTTTCCTTTATTTTTACCAGGAGAAATTTAGATGCTTCTATACTTTGTAAGAAAACTGCTAGCAACACTCTCTTTAATACACTCTTCTAGCACACTTTACTATTGGGTGAATTTCATGCAGCTCCCACTAATTAAAGCGTGGCTCCAGCTTATTTAGTTGGACCAACATATAATTCATCCAATAGTTAGTGTTGAAAAATTTGTGTCGAAGAGTGTGTTGCTAGAATTTCTTTTATTTTTATTTGGCACTACAATTTCTAGCTATCAATTGTGAATGATTATATCATTATATGTATATTGTATAATAGAAGTGCTTTACGTGAAACTCATTTATTGTTTCTGTATTATAAAGGCATTCCAGTCAGATAAATGTCTTAATGGTTCTGTATTATAAAGGCATTCCAGTCAGATAAATGTCTTAATGGTTCAGTAGGTTGCATGATAAAAGAGTGAAAGAAACGGAATGAAAAGGAGAGAAAAGTGTGAGGAAAGAAAACTGAGATTCTTTGATTATGATTGAAGTCACTGTTCTGAAACCCAGAGCTGTGTAATATATATTACATCGAAGCTTGTTAAGCAAGCTTTATCAGAGTAACTGAATGCTAATAGATTTCTAACTATCTTAACAGATGACAGGTTGGCACAACACAACAGAAATAGGGTGCACCCAGATTACTCTGGGTCCTGTAGTACAGATACAAAGCTATACTAAAGCTATACAAGTACATGCTAGAACCCTTGAATAATCTGGAATCCAATGGAAATAGGGCCAGTTCCTTGAATATCATTGAGAATGAATGAAAATAGTAGTAATTTATTTGGTGCCTTTTACAGGCATAACAAAAGTTGACTAATAACTAAAACCCTGCTAGAACACTCCTAAACTATATGGTAACTTATTAAGACTCTAATTCCATCTTAATTATTCTAAAATTTTGTAAAATAATTAATGTTCATTGAAAATTACCTTCTGAAATTGCATAGAGATTATAAAATGTTAATTCTTCATTATCTTGAATTCTTGATTGTCTTACATGAGATAGGCTTCTTGCTCGATCAGTGTTACTAATTTACCAATTTTTTTAATTGTATTTGTCTAACATATGTTATCAGGTTGATGAAGAAAGACAGAGAATTTCTTTAGGAATGAAGAATTCATATATGGAGGATGAAACTGTGCTTCAAATACCTTTAGAGGAAGGATCAGATGAACCTATTGCAGATGGAATGAATAGTAGTTTGCTTGAAACCTCAAATATAGATGTTGAAGGTGAAATTGATCATTTCACAATTCTATCCCAAGCAGAAGAAAGGGCGTACATTCCTCCACTTGATGTTGACCTTGATGACTGTGATCAATTTGATATAAATAACACTAATAGTCAAAGTGAAGAACATGCAAATGAAGGCACCAGAGATGAAAAGCAGAAGAGGCGTGAAAAGAAAAAAACAAAGGAAGAAAGGTTGATATAATGGTTATTGTTATTGCTTCATGTACAATGCTATCTCTATTGATTTTTTTTTCTTCTTATTTTTCTTTTTGATTTTTAATATATGGCAACTATTCTGTACAGGGAGAAACAAATTAGGGCTGCTGAGGAAAGACTACTGGAGGAGGATGTACCAAGAACTGCTGATGAGTACGAAAAGCTGGTTAGAAGTTCTCCTAATAGCAGTTTTGTCTGGATAAAATACATGGATTTCATGATTTCATTGGCCGATGTTGAGAAAGCCCGCTCAATTGCTGAAAGGTAAATCCTAAAGAACTATGATTTTGAGTTTGGTTTAAATTCTAATGAAATTCAAACTTGATTTTGTTAACGTTGATTTGAATACTAAGATTTTTTTCCCAATTTATTAGAGAGAAAAGGAGTAAAGTAAAAGTAGGGGAGGATTAGATATTTTCCTAAATAGAAAAAGAAGGAAACAGCGTAGTGATGAAAAATCCCTTGTAATAGCCATGACTCATGAGCAGAGCACCAGAGGAATAAACACAATCCTCTTCTAATGCAAGTCCTAGGCCAAAAAGAGTACCTATACTAAAGCTTTCTAGTATTTTTATCTTGACAAAGTGTGGAGAAATCATGATTCTTGCAGTTTGTTGTTTCCCTTGATTGTGTTCTTTCTGATTTTTTGTTTTGCAACATTCTTTTAAACACTGAACTTGTTTCTACTTTATAGACCCGGAGAGGCAGGGTTTTACTTTTCTTGGTGACTTTAACCCCCGCCCCCCCTCTTTCTTCCTCCCTCCTCCTCTCTCCCTCCCTTTCTCTTCAACTTCTCACAATACCTCCATCTGTGAATATGTCAAATGACCTGAGTCATCCTGACTTCCTTGCTCTTTTTAATCCATAATTTTGAAGGGCTTTGAGGACAATAAATATCCGTGAAGAAAATGAGAAGCTAAACATCTGGAAGGCTTACTTCAATTTGGAAAATAAGTATGGAAATCCTAGAGAGGTAATAGAAGAGCAATTTCACTTTTTGTTTGCCACTAATATGGTTACGTGGAGTATGCTTACTTTTATTGTTTTTTGTGTAGGAGGCTGTTATGAAAGTATTCCAGAGAGCTCTACAGTACAATGATCCCAAAAAAGTCCATCTAGCACTCTTGGGAATGTATGAGAGGACCGAGCAGCATAATTTAGCTGATGAACTTCTCAGTAAAATGTCAAAGAAGTTCAAGCATTCATGCAAAGTACTATGTGAACTTTTAAATATAAATCCTATTCTTGTCTTCATAAAAATTATATATGAAACTTACTCTACTCTGGGTTTTAGGTTTGGTTGAGGCGTGTGCAGAGTCTTTTGAAGCAAAAGCAGGATGGAATTCAACCAGTTGTCAATCGTGCTTTGTTAAGCCTTCCCCGACATAAGCATATTAAATTTCTCTCTCAGACAGCTATTCTTGAATTCAAGAGTGGGGTTCCAGATCGGGGGCGATCCTTGTTTGAAGGAATTCTACGGGAATATCCAAAGAGAACAGACTTGTGGAGTGTTTATCTTGATCAAGTATATCGTTCACTACCTCCTTTTCTTTTTGTAGTAATATTATTATGAACCTAACATTCTTGTATACTTGATAGGAAATTCAACTTAAAGATGAAGATGTAATCCGCGCACTGTTTGAAAGGGCAGTTAGTCTGAGCCTCCCACCTAAAAAGATGAAGGTGTGTGCTCATCTATCTTACCAGTTTTGCTGATGTTTTGTAATTTTCCTATCAGGCTTACTGGGGACTTTGTTTCCTTGATTTGCAGTTCTTGTTTAAAAAGTATCTTGATTATGAGAAGTCCCAAGGTGATGAAGAACGAATTGAATCTGTGAAGAGGAAAGCAATGGAATATGTGGAGAGTACTCTGGCTTGAATCATCACTGCTTTAGTTTTGAATTATTCAGCTTGCTTCCATTCTGGAGATCCAAAGAGGAAAAGGTTGGGTTTGTTAAGGCATGAGAACTAAACAGTACAAATTTTCCTAAATCACCGGAAACAGGATTTAAATCTTGGTCGGAGGCATCTGTAAATTTAGTGGTTCTATAATCAGCTTTCTGCAGATTAAATTAAGTGCATGGATGAGAGCTTGTAAGATGAGATGTAAATGCATCAAATGTGCAATGCAAGATAAAGACATGCCTTTGATAATTTTGGTTACCCCAGTTAGATGTTGAGGTTGAGGATTAGAGAGGAAATATAGGCCATTTTATTCTTATTCTTTGTCGCTAGCTTCACAGTAGTTACTAAGGATGATAAATGTTTTGCGCTTATAGATTAAACAACGATGTATTGTTGGGATAGTGTTTGATTGCAACTCATTTCGAGAATGTAACCATTATATTTTGTTCTCTTTACGCTTATGCTCCAAAATGAGCCATTGTAGCTTGCTTTGAAAGTATTTCCCCGTCATTTAAAATATCTTCAAAATTCTCTCTTTTTTTCTGCTTACTAAGCTGAGTTATTTAGATATGATTTTCAGTTAAAAACTTGAGTTGCTGCATATTATTGTAATCCATGACGCTCTATATGTGTCACGTTGTGGCTGTGAGTGGAATATCTTGTCTTGCAATTTCAGCGCCGAAATACAAAAACAAATTAAAATTATTCTCTTGTGCTCATAACAAGAGTTTAAGATGGAATGTGAGTTATGTAGGTGAGCCTTTGAAATTGCTACTTATGCAACTATTGCAGTCATTATTACGCATAAATTTTCATTAATTTAGTTCAAAGTATCGTAACCAGCATCGGTAATCATTATTATAAGTCTTATATATTTCGTCTACTAGTTCTAACGCTAATCGATTAATTAATTTTGAAATCTAATATATAAATATTGAGAAGGGTTTGTTTACAATTTTTTTTTTTTTTTTACAAACTTATAAATTATACTATATTTGATCGGTAATACTCTACTTAAGAGTGTATTTACTGGTGAGATATAGTGTAGTTTGTAAGAGTTTGTAAACAAAAAGTTTATATATATAATCTTCTATAAATATAGATAAAAGTTAATATTTAATCATATTAATAGTAATTAAAGTTGGGACAGGATCTGTTTACAAATTTTTTTGAATTTGTTTACAAATTACACTATATTCTCCCGGAAGAACATAGTGTAGTTTGTATAAGTTTGTATTCTCCCGGAAGAATATAGTGTAGTTTGTAAGAGTTTGTAAACAAAAAAGTTTGTAAATATAACCTGTCCCATTAAAGTTAACTTATAATGTTTTTAAGAAACACACATGGTATCAGTGTATGCATATTTTCTTTTTTATAATTTAACACTACTACGTGTGAAGTAGGGAAATTTTTAATATATCCAGGACCATCGTGGTCCTTCCATTCAAGAATTGACACGTGTATTAATTTTTTTTCTTTTTTTTTTTCTCTTTTCTTTCTCTCCAACTTTTTCTCTCTTTCTTTCACTTCAGTCCCATCCTATTTTTTTTAGTCCCGCTGCACTGTATCTTCGCTCGTGAAGTAGGCTTACAATTTATTAACTCAATTTAATAAGTCTATTTTATTAGCTCAATTACAGTGTGCGATTATTACAATTTATTAATTTTATAAGTTTCATAAATCACTCAGTACCATATCACTTATCGAATTTATTCTCCTAAACATAATGCATATTGTAAATAAATTATTGATGAGATCTAGCATATTCCTTTAAATTGATGAGTTCGTTCCTGACAGTAGACGGTTAAAACAGTTGGCTATAAAACAAAAAATCTATGCCTTCTTCTGCATCAACCTGAATCATGATGTCTGAATCAGTGATCCTTTAGAGCTATAACATTTTAGATCTCAGAACAGAACACGTGTTGTCGGTAATTTTATTTTGCTTTTTATCTTTCTTTTTCCCAGCAATTTTGTCATTATTTTTGTTTGTGATGGGATCGTACACGGTTTTGCTTTACTGAAATCTATTGGGTTGCGTTGCATTGCAATAAATTTATGTCCCAAGGTGAAATGGGTCCCTTATCAAGTTTCAATTTTTAAACGTTTTATTGTGTGTCTTCCGAGTGGAACGGAACGTTAAAGTTGAGTTTCACTGGATTTTGGAGATTCATGTGTTGGGTTTCTTGGACTATTTGGAAATTAATCAGGAGAGGTGGAAAAACCAGATTTTGAAAATTGTTGGACTATTTAGATGCAAATGTGTTACTGTTGATAAATTCCTCTTCTCTCTTTCTCTCTGTGTGTGTGTTTTTCATAAATGATGATGATATCTGTTATCCTGAGGTACATAAATATATAGTCAATATTGTGTAGTAGATGTTGATATCTTCCTTATAGGAGAGCTCGAAAATACGAAGTGAAAGAGAGGATAAAACAATGAATTTGATGAGAATGGAGAAATTTAAAAAATAAAAAAAAAAAAAAAAAAAATTGTAAGTGTTTTCAAGGATATGAAAGAGTATATGATGATGTTTTCTATATGAAACTTAACATGTAGGTTTTATCAAGCATGGATCTGCCTACAACGGATGTGGACCTTGGGCCTAAGAAGATTGAAGATAAGAAGGAGGGAGGTCCCTTGTTCCATTGTGATCTTTGTGAAACAGAACTTATTCACAAGCTGGCTCAAATGCTACTGCCAGGACTAGCCTCTGCTTGTGTTGATAACACAACAGGAGATCCCTTCAAGACTCCTGGTTCAGTGGCTGTTGATTTGAGAAAAGAAATGATAGATTGTCTTACCCAAAGAAGTGAATCATTTGTTGCTGAATCTGTTATCTTAGAAGGTGATCCTGATGGTAAAGTATCAGATCACCCTTTTGATATTATTTCTTATTTTGTTGATGACTTTGTAAGTTCCAAGAGGAATTTGTTAAGTCAGGTTTCGGGATGGCTGCTAAGTGAGAAGAGAGAAGACAAAATAGATGATTTTGTTCAAGAGATGGAAATGAAAAGTTTTTGGTCATTGGATAGAAGAGAAAAAGTTGCAGCAACTTTGCTTAGGAATGTTGACTTTAAGAACTCATTTCATTGCAGCATGAATTTTAGTTCTGCTGAAGATCTAGCAAACCATGTTGGTGATTGCATCTTCAGACCTGTGATCTGCCAAAATGAGGGATGCAATTCCAGATTTAGTGCTGGTCATTTGAAGGATCATGATTCACATTGTCCTTTCCAGATAATTCCATGTGAACAAAAGTGCTTAGATAGCATTATGAGACGTGAGATGGATAGGCACTGCATAACTGTTTGTCCAATGAAGCTTGTAAATTGTCCTTTCTATGCAGCGGGTTGTAGATCTGCTATTGCACAATGTATGATTGAGAAACATTGTTCAGATGATCTTCGTTCTCACTTACTGCACATGCTTAAAGGCATCCACAAGGAAGCATCTGGTGAAGATCTTAAGCGACGAGTAGAGCAAATTTTACAGGTTAGTCAATATAAACAATAAAGAGAGAGGGTGATTTTGGTGTAACCAAAAACTTCCATGACTGAAATTCGGCACTGATTTTTATTTAAAATTTTAAGCCGAAAATTTGTTCTGTTTGAAAACATTCTAAATACTTCAAAAGACTTTCATATTGAGGGACTGTTAAAGGAAAACTGAGTCATTTATATAAGTGAATGAGGGTTGATTAAGCAGAGTTAGTTTTGAAAGTACGGCCACAAAACTTTTTCCACTTTAATAAGTTTTCAAGGCTCACGTTTCAGTTGAACTTTTAAGTGAGTTTTTTTTAGTAATGTTAAAAGATATAGCATTTGACAAAACAATTTAATTGATATACTTGAGTGTAAAATAGTTTTACATTTGCATATGTATTACCCCATTATTTAATAAGTTTGATATCTCATATAATTGTTAACACAATTAAATGCATTAAATGATGTGCCGACACAAAATTAGCTGATAATTTTAAAAAGTTTTTAACTGATATGCATCAAATTAAACCCTTGACAAAGCTGTTATCTCAATACATTTTAAATATTTGTTTTAGTTTCATTATTTTCATCATGTTTGAATCATCATGGATACTGCAGAAGCATCAACAAGGGTTAGAGCTGATATAGTCTATGTATTAGCTTAATTTGATTTTAACACGCTTGACTTTGTATTAGACCATTCAAGACCCATTCATGGCCACATCCAGATTCCTCCTCGAGAAAGATAACACATAGAAAGGTTATTTGGATAATTTTGAGTGTGCAGCTATCAAATTCCTTTGGTCATTTTCTCCTCCAACATGCTAAAGCCTGATTGGCTCTTTTGGCCTCCTTTGTTATCTTGTTTCATATGTTTAATACCTGTTGATCTTAAGCCTAATTGAAATTTAGACCGTCTTAATTTTTAAAGATAATCATGATCAGTGATGCACCAAAATCTTTTGCTTAGTTGAGTTGTATACGTTCTAAAGTATATAGATTGGATAGAAGGTATTGTCTTCCCCCCATAAAAAGGATAGAAAAGGTGATAGCAATAGTAATCGGTTGATGAATTTGTCAATATTAATTTTTAAACATTACTGAGACTCTGGCATTTTAACCATTTGGCTGTGGCTGTTTATAATATAATACACTAGTTGTTAGTGTATTATATTATTAGTTGTTAGTGTATTATATTATTTTTTTGGTTATTTGAGAACTTCCTGGTAAGAATTATGCTTCAGATTAGTTGATTGCTTTCAACCCTTGATTCAATCAAGTTCTCAATTTCTGCTGGATTTCCTCCTTGTATAGTAGTTTATGGTCAGAAAATGCTTTTAACAGGAGTTTTAGGGAATGAATTTGGTTTTTCTACTAAAGTTGATAAGCTTAAGTTGTGGCATTAGATCATCCATTGATGGAGGCATGAAATTAAACTTTTGTCATTAGTTGATATTTATCTTGCCACATTATATGGAAAGAGAGATACCTAAATTTTATTGGTATGATCAATATTTAAACTTTTAGTTTCTTGTGACAGGCATCATCAAGCAGCGGGTTAGCAGAGGCTCGGGATGTCAGATCTTTAAAAATTATTGTCAAGGATCTTGAAGCTAAGCTAGGGCCTTTGGAAGTGAGTACCAAAGAGAAAACTAGTGCAAAAACAGATGCCAAGAATGAAGATAATAGCAACAAACCAGAAGGCAATGAGCAGAGAACACAATCTTTAGATTCATCGGATAAAGCTGAAGTGAGTGCCATCTTGAATCAGAATAGTGCAGAGAATGCTGTCATTAATGTAGATAGTACTGAACATAAGGAAAATGGAAAGTAAGGGTAGTGCAGATAATAATGTGACGAAACAAGATATTGAAAATTGTAACTCCTAAGAGGGCATAGAAACTTAGAAAGTGGAAAATTTTATATGTCCTGTTGCCTAATCTTTACATGAAAGGAGGATTTTCCATTTTGCATGTAACTGGTGACACATGCTGATTTTTCTTATTTGTTAAGATTTAGCATCATTCATTAATATCTCTTCTGGTCCTCCCCTCCCTTTCTTGTGAAGTTTAAAGAGATTTAGCTTTTGTGACAAGCTTACAACATCATTATTTTCCTATTCTCGACTTGTTAATCATAATATACTTTCTTCTGACAAGCAATCTGTTAAGAGTGTTGAAATGTTTCTTTTAAAAACTATTATGTTTATATTGCATATATCATGGCAAAAAAGAACTGCACAGATAATGGTGTACTATATATTTAAGCCATTTGGCATCTATTATAACTTTTAGAGTAAACACCATTTTTAGTCTCTGACAATATCTACGAAGTCCTTTTCAGTCCCTGACAATAAAAAAGGACCAAATTGGTCCCTGAAAGTACAAGAAAAGGGTCACTCTACATATTTGGGAGTTGACATAAGAACTAACATGACCCTTTTTTTGTAATTTCAGGGACCAATTTGGTCCTTTTTTATTGCCAGGGACTAAAAAGGACTTCGTAGATATTGACAGGGACTAAAAAGGGTGTTTACTCTAACTTTTAAAAGCCTTAAAATTTTTGTAACTGCACGGATCAATCGTTAGAATAGTCTAGGAAACACTAAGGCCAAATACTCCGACGCGTACTAACAGACACAATGCAAGTAGAATAAGGCCGAGAAAAAAGAAAACAATGAAAGCAAGCTCAAAATAATTTTCTCATTACAACTTAAGATCAAATTCAAAAGAAAATAAATACATCATCAACAACAACATATTTATCTCAAACTAGCTGGGGTCAATAACAGATGAACCCAAATAAAAGTATGAAAATATTAAAAAAAGAGAGAGGATATATATATATATATATATATATATATATGAAAAAATGTGTGTTATTTTAAATGACACACCTTATATCTTTTTAATCTCACAAATAGATGGGACCCACACCTTTAAAAAATTTCCTACCCATTTTTTCTCTCGTGATTTATCTTTTTCTCTCATTTAAAATGACATAACTTTGTGGGATTTTTGACTCTTTTGCCCCTAATTAAATAATTAATAACCAATTTGTCCCTCCCCCAGAACTATCCACCATCCTGCCCCCATTTAGTCGATTATGTTGCACTTTTGATCGACTAAATGGGCTAAACTCAGAAATTATGAAACGCGAATTTTAGTCGACTAAAAACACATCTTAATCGACTAAATTGTTTGCACTTTTAGTCGACTAAGCACATTATTTAGTCGACTAAATGTCGCAGATCAGGTTTTTTAAAAAAAACCCCATTTCGCAAAGGGGGTTTTTTTCAAACCCTAATCGACTAAAAGGCTGCATTTCGTCCCCTCTCTCCAACCAAGTCCGAATCTCAACCCTTGAAGGTGCGATTGAAGCTTCCTTGGTTCACACTTGCGAAATCGACATTTAGGTAACGTATTCTGACTTGCATTTGGTTTTAAGTTTAGTTTTTTTTTTTTGGTTTTCTTCATGCATTTGATTTATGTTTGCGGTTTTGTGGATTTAGGTTAGGGGTAGGAAGCTAAGTGTGTTGTGAGGGTGAGGGTTAGGGTTGATGTGGTGCCTTAGGCTTAGGGTTAGGGTTAGGGTTAGGGTTAGGGTTAGGGTTAGGGTTTACGTTGCTGTTTTGGTTGGGTTGTAGTGTTTAGGGTTAGGAATGGATTTTTGTGTTCTGTTTTAGGGTGTAGGGTAAGGGTTAGGGTTAGGGTTTCTGTTTCTGTTTTAGGGTTAGGGATTGGGTTTCTGATTTCTGTTTTATTTTAGGATTAGGTTTTGTTTTTTATATTGAATTTTAAATTTTTTGATATTGTTATTGTTCATTGATTTTTGTTTCCACTTGCATTGTAGGTACAGTTGTTCCCATGGCTGGCCGTAGAAGATCGTCTAGCACTGGAAATGAGAGACGACAAAAGCTACGACAAGACCGTCCGTCTTCGTCAAGGCCACAAGAGGAAGACCCCGCTGCTGTGGACCTCCCATTCGGATACTTGTTCGAGAATGACCCGGTGGTTCATGAATCTTTTGTCCGTGACTTTGTTAACCGACCGATTTGTGGGGCCAAATCACTTGATACAGCCTTTTTTGAACAAGAAGGTTTTAACATTGTGAGGTGGTTGGAGGAATCACATCTTAGGACCTTGGCTGAACTGTCGTGTTCATATTCTGAGCTGCATGTACGGGCCTTCTACCATAATCTCAGCTACCATCACGGTGAGCTGAGGTCTAGGGTTTGCGGGGTGGACATCATCATGACGGCTCCGGTATGGTTGGAGTTACTGGGGTATGACTTTGATTCTGCGCAGACTGTGGAATATGACGCAGACAGCGGGACCATACTTCCAGGATATAGACGCGGTGATGCCGTGCAGGAGCAGAGGAGAGTCTGTGGGCAACACATTGCCTATACGGTGGGGTTGCTTAGTGTGGAGTCCCGCATACTACACTATGTCATCACCCACATTTTGTTTCCGCGAGCGTTCAATCATTCCAGGGTGTTGGAGCATGACATTCCCATCATGTGGGCTATCCGACATGGTACTTCGGTGAACTGGAGGCACTACGTGTGTTGGATGATGTATAAGGCCAAACACAAGGGTGCACTTCCATTTGCTTGTCTTGTTCAGAGGATATTGGAGAATTTTGATGTTCACATGGGTAATGTGACCTTGAAGAAGACCACAGGGTATAATCATAAGTTTGGAAAACGTCTACTGGAGCAGTGCAAGATGACAAAGAACCCCCAAACAGGAGTGTGGCAGTTCACAGGTGCGGCTGATGTTGAGGTTCCTGATGTTGCTCCAGTTGTAGACATGGTTGACCCCGAGGTGGAGGATGATGATGACGATGATGATGAGGGTGACCAGCAGGAGATAGCTGAGCCTGAGGGTGGGTTTTCATTACGTGATGTCATGAAGGGCATAAACGCCACGCTGAAGAAAATAGGAAAAATGGCGCTGAAACACAAAAAATGGAGCAAGAGTCACGTGCAGAAGGGAAATGAAAGATTTAGACATATACAGGGACGGTTCAAGGGTGTTGAAGATAGGCTTGCAGGTGCAGATAAACCGACCACTTTGTCTTCTTGACTTTGACTTCTTCCATGCACAGGTGCAGATGAAGATTGACCACAGTCTATTTCAACATATATCTCAATAAAGTTTTGAAATTTTCGGTCCACAATTGCATCTATGACACAATCCACATCTTCATCGTCACATATATCATTACCAATGTAGAATATAGCATCCTTACCAACTGTAGACTCTACCCTGGCGATCATCCGTTGAACGCCATGGCTCCCGTGTAGCCCCAATTTTTGGTTAATCCTCCCCTTCAGCTCATTGTACGTAGTGCCCCGTTTGATTTTCAACATTTTCGTTTTTCCTTCAAATTGAACACTGTTGGGGCCTTCATAATGCTTTCCATCATAGTAAATCATGGTAACATACATGTTAGGACTTGAGCTCATCTTTCACACGAATTTTGGGGGTAGGAATCAGATTTTAGGGGTTAGGGTTCGGATTTGGGGGAAACAATTGAGAAATAAAGGAAAATGACAATGATTTCACAATTACTATGTCTTAGAGGTGGTGGGATGAAATGGAAGGGTGATTGGAAGGTTCCCAGCTGACAAACAAGAGAAAGAGACCAAGAGAGAAGTTTTGATTTCGAATATTTTGAAAATGAGCCCAAGAGAGGTCTGGATATAGGGTTTTTCGCGATCTTTAGTCGACTAAATAATGTGCTTAGTCGACTAAAAGTGCAAACAATTTAGTCGATTAAGGTGAGTTTTTAGTCGACTAAAATTCGCGTTTCATAATTTCTGAGTTTAGCCCATTTAGTCGATTAAAAGTGCAACATAATCGACTAAATGGGGGCAGGATGGTGGATAGTTCTGGGGGAGGGGCAAATTGGTTGTTAATTATTTAATTAGGGGCAAAAGGGTCAAAAACCCTAACTTTGTGTGCTTCAAAATGATACATATTTTCCTATATATATGGCTTATCGTCTCTCAAGCTACTTGAGATAAATTTATCACTGTCTACTGAATCATAACCGTACAAAGATGAATCAATGGTGATAAAGGAATAGAGAGAAAAATGGGATCATAACCATTCAAAGGTGAATCAATTAAAATAAGAAAATAAATAAACAAAATGATGTAGTTTTGGGGTAGCCGGAGAAATATTTTTTCCATATATATATATGGGTTAGGATCATTTTACACCAGTGTAAGTTACGCTTTTAATCTTGACTTTTAATCCTAATTATATCTAAGGGCTCTAATTTTTTGATAATGTGAGTCGTTGGGTACAGGTGGATCAATGCTCAAGATTGAGTCTAAGTCTTAGAACTTTTACACCGGTGTAAAAATATCATGCCCCTATATTTATATATATAAATATATATATATATATATATATATATATATATATATGGGCTTATCATTTCTACAGCTGTCGTAGATAACATTCTCTACAGCTGACACAGAAAAGTGGGCCCTACGGCATTTTAAAACAAAAAACAAAAAAAAACAAGGATCTGGTGCCGTATCCTAGGATCCGGACGCGGATCCTGGCTAGCTGTAGGTGCAGCGGCTGCAGAAATCATTTTTCCTATATATATATATATATATATATATATATATATATATATATATATATATAGAGGATAGGTTATTCTACCTACCAATTTTTCTGCCTACCTTTGTCTACCATCCTTTAATACCATTAGATCATAATCTCAGTAGGAGAGAGAAATGAAAAATGTAGTTAGGATTTTGAATTAACGCTATTAAAGGGTAGTAGGCAAAGGTAGGCAGAAAAAATG